ATAAAACGGCACATCTATTACTTTTACCCAGCGAAAACTTCTGGCCGGGGTACGTTCCGGCGGCTTTGCATTGGACGGGACGACTCTTCCATCAGCCAGAGGATTCCGGACTTCCATACGCCAGCGAGTGGTAAAACCAAAGTACCCATGGCCTTTTACTCCTGCCGCCGCGTAAGATATTGCCAATTTCGGTATCTACCGGGCAGCTGGCTGCCGGCGCTCGGTACTTCTTATGGAAAACCGGATTTACAGAACGAACGGGGAACAAAACGGGATATTCCAATCAACAGGGAAGCTTTCTGGCTGTTATACGTCTGGTACCGAAATAAACGCCTTTGGTAATAGTCGACGTTTACTTAAACCCCAAGGATTTTCCACCGGCTCACCGATTTCTCTTCTTCTCCCAAGTATCTCTATCCGAAACTAAACTTATCGCTTTTCGTTCTATACATTACCTTATCGGATTTTATGACCCTACCCAACGGAGTGCCTCTTCTTCCCGGGCGCCGAGTGCCGTCTTTTTTCCTTTTTGCGCCTTCGCTCGTTTCCTTTATTTTTCCTCCAAAGCGGTTATTCCCAATTCCCACTACCCGGCACTCGTGCGCCTGTTGCGGAAATTATTGGCCGGCCGCCGATTAAGGAAACGGTTTACTTTCACCCTTCTTCCGTGGAAAATACAAAACTCGGAATTCGGGAAAGTTTTCGTGATAGACGTAAATTAAGAAACGTGAGACGTCTACGGCATCTGATTTAAAATACTTTTCGAAATGCACTTTGATTACGGTGGCGTAAAGCTTTTCGATAAATAATCCGATAACCATAGTTTCCGACTTAGAAACTTTGGGGGGGGGGAATATCTGGTTTTTAGCGCATTTCTCCTCCATGGTTTATTAAAATTCAAAATGGCATTCTCCTTTTTAATTACGGCAACTATAATCTTAAGGACAAAAACTATATAAATAAGTAATACGGAGGTTATAAAACGAAAGTTTTCTATTATTATTATTATTATTATTATTATTATTATGTAAGGTTCAGTGGGTTATACTTGGTTGATATGGTGACTGTATACTATGCCAGACCACAGGCAAGGCATATCAACCAAAACAAGACAAAAATTAAATAAGAGTTTGTGTGTGTTTGTGTCTGTATTCAAGAATTTCCTAACAATATAACATGTATTCAATATAGTGGCCTTCTGTAGTGTGATGCATGTGTTTCTATTCAATTGTAATGTTCCCAGGCTTTTGTGTAGTTTGGTATGACACCTGTAGAGGAGAGAACTACAAGTACAATAAGCACCCTATCCATCCTCCACAGATGCCTTATTTCCTGGGCAAATTCTGTGTACTATACTTACAATATACAAAACACATGCACTGAAAAAATCAGCAAGTGTTTGGAATGGATATGAATGAGTGTGATGTCTAGTCTGCTGTAAATTGTTTTATCTGTGATTATTGCGTGTGTTGTTTTCCAAAACTGTCTGTGGTATATACTTGTAGTATGGTTCGTGGATGTCTAATAATTTGGGTTTCTTTGCAAGCTCTTGGTGTATTATATTTGCTATTTGATTATATCTATGTAAATAATCTGTCTGTGCAAGGAGCTTGCAACCAGAAGTGATGTGTTGTATAGTTTCTGGCATGATGTGACATTTTCTGCATATGTCATTTTTGAGTCTTGTATCTTTGAGTATGTGTTTTCTGTAGAGTTTAATATTTATGACCTGATCCTGTATGGCAATTATGAACCCTTCCGTCTCCCCAAAGAAGCATCCCTGAGCTAACTGGCTGTTTGACGCAGTTTTGTCAACAAAATCCTGGGCCAGGTTGTAGGGATGCCTGCCGTGGAGTGCCTTTTGAACCCACGATTGCTTAATGGTGTCTATGCTTTTTATATGTTGTGTCGTGTCTGTATGATGCGAGTGTAAATTTAATGGTGAAATTTCCACACACTTGTTGGACATTTAGCAAAATAACTTATATTAAGAAACTTTTCAAACAAATTAAGAAAATACTTTATCAATATAATATAGTATCGATTCCAGAACAAAAGAATAGACCATATTACATAAAAGGAGAATACCAACAATAGAGGATAAAATTAACAGACTATTAAAAAAAAAAGGCGAGTGTTGTATACAGATTTAATTGTGATTGTTGGGAACCATTTACTTATGTCAGAGAGACAGGAAGAGAATTATGCGAAAGAACCAGAAAACGTGTTAGAGCAATAAAATATGACAGTGTGTTGAATGGATGTCAGAATGATCTTAATATATTATGGATAGTCCAATTGGAGAAAAATATGACAAAGAGAAAGTGATATGAACACCTAGAAATAGTTAACATTAAAAAGATTTTTGTTTCTAATGAATGAGGATGATGGAGTAAATTTATACAAGTTGTAGAATTGGTTTCTGGCCAAAAGGAGACAGGAGGGGAGCTGTTCTGTTGCAGTAGGAGTGTTCGTGAATGGAGTGAGAAACAATGAATGAAAGTAATGACATCAAGGACTGTGTGGAATGTGTATGGTTAAAGAAAAGAACACGGGTACTGCAATAATTTGAAGATATAATTAGTTTAATTTTTTAAAGAATTTTAAACAATAATGTTTTTATGAAATAGTAAAAATGATTATATTATGGAAATAGAAAAAAAATGGTTGAAATATTGTGTAAGGTAAACTTTTAAAATTTTTAGTAGATATATAATTATAATTTGTAAATTTATTGTATATTTAATAGAATATCAAAAAAGTGTGTGCTTCATTTGGCTTGTTTGAAAGAAAGTCTACCAAGGAGGAAAATATTGTAATTTCCAAAATGCATCTGAGTAAAATAAAGTTATTGATTGCCTAATATTTTGAAGTCTGTGGATGTGATAATTCCTGGATAATAATGGCATTTGAACTGGTTATATATTGATGTAAGTAATATGCTTTATTCACAAGTAATATGCTTTATTCACAGAGAAACTCTTGTATGTGAAAGGTTTGAATTTGGAATCAAAATCTACAAGTAAACAATGTCAAATTGTGAATCTACTAAATTTGTCCAGCTATAATTCTACCTGTTTACAGTTTAATGCAAGGAAACAAGATCAAATTGTCATCCTCTGCTATTCCATTACCGAAATGCATTGGTCATCCAAAAAAGTTTTATCGACATTTGATCGGCCAAAATTCTGGAGGTGAAAATTTTGCATGCATATTTGTTGGATAGTTATTGGCTTAAAGAAATTTACTTATTGAATGACATTTTTTCAATACATAAATAAACTTAATCAAAAACTGCAAGGAGTGTGTGATAATATATTAAAATACACTAGCAAGGTTTATGGATTCAGAGTAAAAAATTTAACCTTTGAGTAGTCTAAAAGAATTCTCTAGTAATGCTATAATTTGAATCCTAAGAAAGACTTAAGACAAATAGAACAATATCTGTGTATGCTCGACAAGGCTTCATCAACATTTGGAAATATGTGATAATGAAAAGTTCAATTAGACATATAAACATCTCTAAGCCCAATAGTTATATTAAAACCAAATGATAACCAGATTAAATCTAGTTATATTACAGCTACTATTAATAATTAAATACCGAGTAATTTGGCCTAGAGACATGCATTAGAATCCAATTCTTATTAAATTTGATAATTATAATTAAATGAATATTTATTGCCCACCAGTGGCCGAGTGGTCTTCGTACCCTAAACACTGGGAGTTCGGTCGTGGGTTCGCGCCGCGATCGGACAGGCTGGCTGCTTGGAGTTTTCCGGGTTTTCTCCTTGCCAATAACGACTAAATAGGAGGCCAGTTCCCCATAAAAGTCCTCCCGGAAGGCATTAGTTCCCCTCGCGTAACATCGCGCCCCAGAGAAGGCAACGGGAAACCACTCTGGGTACTACCTTTCCCTAGTAACGCCTTGGCGTACTTACTAATCTGCGCCGGGTGTGGCCGAGGTCGGGAATAACCTGATATGGCACTATGAGTGAATGAGAGAATATTTATTAAAATAATTTAAGTTCTGGAAGAAAAGAATTGGACCAAAGTGGAACTCAAACCTGCAACTAGTATGGTTATATGTAAATTAAATATGACCGGAAGCAAAGGATTGAACAATGCATCAGCAAGGCATGTCACTGTTGTCGGTTCGAGTCCGCTCAGGGCCAATTCTTTTCTTCTAGACTTTAATATTTGTTAAATAATCTAGAAATTTAATTATAATTATTAAATTTAATATGAGGTGGCACCCAATGCCTACTTGTGAGCCAAATTACTTGGTGTTTAAATTATAAATAGTAGTAATAATATAGCCCAATTTAATCTGGCAATCATTTGGGTTCAATTAGATCCAAGTCTAATTGGGACAACTCTATTTGCATTATCATTAAAAATTTCTATATCACATTTCTCAATGAAAAAAGGAAGCACTGTTTACATTTTATGAATGATTAGCATTCTCAAAATACAATTTAGAGAAAATGAATTAACAAAAATTTTCATAAAAAGAATTTTTCCTCTTTGCTTCCAACTACTTGTGTCAATAAAATTCCTCATTGATGGCAGCTATACAGAATTTAATTAACTATCATTAAAAAGTCTTAATTAGAAATTCTGTTTAGCCATTTCAAAAATAAAATCTTAAAAAAGTTATATTCACAAAAGTGTGTTCAAATTTCTCATTAAAAAAAATTAAATATTGGATTTGTATGTTTCTGAATAAAATCTGTTTCCCCTTACTACTCTGCATTTTTTATATTATATAATTTTTAATAATGAATTATTCACTAAGCCTAGTACAAACCTTACCCCAAATCATTTTAAGTATAGGCTATAACAAAAAATGTTACAAAGCACCAGTTTATTCTTATATCGATTGCTACTTTCATATATCTCTTAATATAAAAATTTTATATCTAATGCTTAAAATAAAACTGATAAATTGAATTTTACATAATTCCCAAAACACTCAATGTTAAAATTTTCTGGAATTTAAGTGTTAGTTTTAAAATTTATATTTACAATCCATTACCTCCTCTATGACGAATCCACGCTACGTAATGACCACTAGTGCTCGAACGTCCCCTGTGAGTAAGAACTGCAATTAATTCGTAGTAGCCACTATTATTGGATCCGGGATCTGTCGCATTCAAATAAATTTTGTTAAATCTACAATTATTATTTCTCTTAATGAATAAAAACATTATCAAACACAAACCATCCGGAAAACTATAATCAATTTTTTCCTTGGGTGAAGTCTTTGACTTGGATACATCATTAGATATTTTTAACTGTAAAAGACAACTTTACATTGTAAAAATTTAAAATTAACAGAATTAATATAAAAATATTCATACATTTTGGGCTTCTTCTATTTTTTTATCTTCAATTTCTTTAAAACGCAATCTCATCGGAATAAGTTTTTGTTGTAATTTTTCTGTACATAAGTCAAAAACATCTAAATTCAATGTAAATTTTACATCCTATATTGAAAACAGGTCTTACATTAAAATCTTATATCACAACAATAATCTATTTTATTCAAGCATCACACAAATATAAGAAAAAATTAACTTTCTTACTTTTAATATTTTTGCATTAATGGATTCTCTTTCTTTATAGAAAAATCTCACAAATTGTATGGTAAGATAAGCAGGTAATCGACTAATTTTACACTGAAATAAATTTATTATTACTTTCTTAAAAAGAAAAAAAAATTTTAAAAATTAAAAAAACTCAAATTCAAAAGGACACACTTACTGTTTTTTGATATTGAGCATCTCGATCTAAAGTCATCGAATGTTTAGTGATTACTTCTTGCATCCGCTTTAAAAAATAAATAAATAAACAAACAAACAAACAAACAAACACAGACTTCAGAATAATCTATCGATGATAATTTTTCTCCGAAATAATACTTACCGATTTTAATCCAGTGTGCATATATTTAACATCTAAACAAGATAGATAAATAAAAATTTATTGAAGTTACCAGATGTATTTTTTATTTAAATTTTTAAAAACTTAAATTTTTAAAAACCTTGTGATATAAAGCAACTAAGTTGAAGGAAATTTTCTTCATTGTGTGTTGGTTGTTCATCTTCAGATTCAGTACATTTTAAACTGAATTAAAGTTAAAGTTAATATAATTCTCAAATATATATACAATCAAATATTCACAAATAAAAATTATCTAAAAAAATAAAATTTGCTTTAATTCACTATTACCAATATATAGGATGATGAAACAGTCAAAATTTCAATCAAGTAATAAAATATTTGCACAATACAATTAACACCTTAATTTATCCAGAATTTATTTTATTATTGCTAACATTTTTAGATGTTTAATGTGTCTTCGGGCATTACAATCCTTTTTGAACAGTATAAATCAATTTTATTAAAATCTTAGAGTATGTTCCATACAAAAAATTAAAAAAAAAAGTATATAAAATTTTGTTAATGTTTCAAATCCCTACAAAAATATACTTTTTAAATTCAAAATTATCCAAACAAATGAGACTTTCAAAATCAGGTGACTAAAATCAAATGAGACTTTCAAAATCAGGTGTTAATTGTATCATATTACAAGACCCAAGAAAAGACTCGGGGATTTATAAGGTACCGATTTGAGACGACAGATAAGGGATGTTGAAAGAGCCTCAACCTAGGCTCAATAGCCAAATGGTGGTGTCCCATCTTTTGTATGATTTGAAACCAGGGGTTAAGGTATTGTGAAAGGAGAGTAAAATGATATGTTCAGTAAGAGATCAAGGAGTTAAGGATGCTAGAGCATATAGAAATTTGTCTATAAAACAAGAAACATGCATTAATTTCAAAGAATTTCAATGCACAAAAGTAAATATACAATGTTCGCAGGTGAAATCAGAATATTTAAAGTTATATTATGTTCTGAATGCTTCTTTTACTTACTTTAAATTTAGTCTGCATAATTTTGAAAAACCTGCTTTGATTGGATAATTTGAAATTTAAAAGTTTTGTTCATTGTCAGGATTTGGAACATTCATAATTTGAATTTTCATTTGTATAAAAACATATTCCAGTTCCAACTCTAAAAATTTCATTTATCCTGAAGACAGATATTTAAACATCTGAAAATGTTAGCAATAATAAAATAAATGCTGGAAAAATTAAAGTATGTTAATTGTATCATATTACAAGACATCAAGTTGATTTTCTCAAGTTATAAAATATTTGATTGAAATTTTACAACCAATGCATTAAAATTTTATAAAAGTAAACATCTAACATTGTTACCAATTTAAAATGATTATTGGAAGTGTCTTCTATTTTTCTTGACATAGCCAATCATTTTTATTTGGAAATATTTTGCATAATATTTCAGCTAAAACATACTTCATTAAAATTTGAATTGTGTTTGTTTACAGAAAAATTACAGTCTTTAATGGCTTTTAAAAGTAGAATCAACACATGCAAGGTCATGTGAAGAAATTCCTCTTGAAATTATGAGTTCTCCAAAGTTATCTTTCCACTATATTGCATAAAATAAACTGTACTGTAACAGTTATTGAAAATATGAGTTTTGGATTTAGCTGTCATTTAATTTGTCAATAGGCAGATATAAAATTTCCTTACAGTAATATTTTGAACTAATGGATACACTGTCTTGAAGCTGTAACTCAAATACTTACTTTTAACATGTAGAGAAACTTCATCAATACTATCAGGGTTTTTGGAACACCACACATGCATATTTTCTGAGTTATTGTAACCTACAAGTTAATTAATTAAACAATGTTTAATTTTTGAATTGCTGTAATGTCTGCCAACATTACAGCAATTGAAATATGTAGCACTAAAACAAAATAATTACATTGTGGCTGAATTAAAAAGAACAAAGTTTGCAAACTCCATTCTAAAAGATAAAATCAAACAGGATCATAATTTCTTATAATCATTCCTAACTTTTTGGCAGTTTTTACTTTTTTCTTTTTTAACAACAGATTCAATAAAACATTTGTTCAATTTCAGAATTTTTGTCCAGGCAAACAAAAAACATGTCCACAATTTAAATAATAGCTTTTGAATTATATATATTTCTGTTTATGCCATACTAAGTCTCACTTTTGATAATTGTTCATATTTTTTGAGAATATTACCTTCGGTAAGCAAAAAAGATAATATTCTCAAAAAATATGAACAATTATCAAAAGTGAGACTTAGTATGGCATAAACAGAAATATATATAATTCAAAAGCTATTATTTAAATTGTGGACATGTTTTTTGTTTGCCTGGACAAAAATTCTGAAATTGAACAAATGTTTTATTGAATCTGTTGTTAAAAAAGAGACTCAGTATGGCATAAACAGAAATATATAATAAGCAGTAGAACATTGCTGTAAGTTACACATTGCAAATACAAAACAGAAATAATGACATAATTCATTACAACCAACAAAATCAAAACACCAGCACAGAAGCATCTAGAAACCAACAGCAGTAGCATCCCACATATCTCCATAGCTACCTGGTTTAATTTACCAATATGATATTACTGTTTTTTTTTTTTTTTTTGGTAAACCAGAACCGTCATTGAAGAAGATCATTTCTAGAACTTATGACAATTCTTTAAAAGAATGGAAAATCAAAAAAATTCTTCACTTAATTCTCAGACATTTTTGATACTATGTAGATTTCCCCATTTTTTCCAATAATTAATATCTTATCAAGCTTTTCCCATTTTGAACTAATTCTTCTTCTAGTTTCCTAAACTTATCTATTGCTTCAACTAAATATTTAAATTGCAAAAAACAACCATATTGTACATTTCTAAGTTATCTTAATGTTAAGTTATTTACTATTGAGTACTGTTTCTTCCTCTCATTTTTGTTTACATTATTGGTTGCCATAATTTTTGCAGTGTAAATGTAACATTAGCTGCGAGATCATCATCTCTGTATATTGTGTTCACTATAATGACAAAACTAAAATTTTATTGACTTCTACTGCTTTATAGTAATTTCCCCCAGAATAATTATTCCTAGAAGTATGATTTCTGCAAACTTATTGGGTTTTAAGGATATGTATACTTAGTTCAATCTATAATATCTCAACAAATTATTCTCTCACTGTGTTTAAACTTGACAGAAGATAAACAGAAATGTCTATTTTGTTAACTTAAGCATTATTTCAATTACAGTATTATAGTAATGTAAATTGTTCATTGAATACAGACAGAATACAGACAGTTGTGGGTTCGAGTCCCACTCCGGGCCGATTTTTTCTCCCAGCGGTTCTAAATTATTTAAATTAATTAATTTATTTATAATTATTAATATTAATAAGAGATGGTGCCTAACGCTTACCTCTAGTGCCAAATTAATTACGTAATTTATTTAGTAATTAGCCTTAAAACTAGCCCGATGGATTTACGGCATATGTTTGGTGATTAGCTATATTACATCGGGTTTAGCGATGATTATATATATTACGCCTTGCCGGGGCTTGCGATGGCCGGTTGAGTGCCTTATAGGAGTAGGACGTGGGCACTGAATGTGTCCCCAGCCGGCATTGTAATAACCGTCGATGGTTACATAGTTATACGCTGGAAGAGGAGATCGGATCGGAGGTCCGGATAGCGTAACTGGCAACGCATCTGCACGGTAAGCAGGAGTTGTGGGTTCGAGTCCCGCTCCGGGCCGATTTTTTCTCCCAGCGGTTCTAAATTATTTAAATTAATTAATTTATTTATAATTATTAATATTAATAAGAGATGGCGCCTAACGCTTACCTCTAGTGCCAAATTAATTACGTAATTTATTTAGTAATTAGCCTTAAAACTAGCCCGATGGATTTACGGCATATGTTTGGTGATTAGCTATATTACATCGGGTTTAGCGATGATTATATATATTACGCCTTGCCGGGGCTTGCGATGGCCGGTTGAGTGCCTTATAGGAGTAGGACGTGGGCACTGAATGTGTCCCCAGCCGGCATTGTAATAACCGTCGATGGTTACATAGTTATACGCTGGAAGAGGAGATCGGATCGGAGGTCCGGATAGCGTAACTGGCAACGCATCTGCACGGTAAGCAGGAGTTGTGGGTTCGAGTCCCGCTCCGGGCCGATTTTTTCTCCCAGCGGTTCTAAATTATTTAAATTAATTAATTTATTTATAATTATTAATATTAATAAGAGATGGCGCCTAACGCTTACCTCTAGTGCCAAATTAATTACGTAATTTATTTAGTAATTAGCCTTAAAACTAGCCCGATGGATTTACGGCATATGTTTGGTGATTAGCTATATTACATCGGGTTTAGCGATGATTATATATATTACGCCTTGCCGGGGCTTGCGATGGCCGGTTGAGTGCCTTATAGGAGTAGGACGTGGGCACTGAATGTGTCCCCAGCCGGCATTGTAATAACCGTCGATGGTTACATAGTTATACGCTGGAAGAGGAGATCGGATCGGAGGTCCGGATAGCGTAACTGGCAACGCATCTGCACGGTAAGCAGGAGTTGTGGGTTCGAGTCCCGCTCCGGGCCGATTTTTTCTCCCAGCGGTTCTAAATTATTTAAATTAATTAATTTATTTATAATTATTAATATTAATAAGAGATGGCGCCTAACGCTTACCTCTAGTGCCAAATTAATTACGTAATTTATTTAGTAATTAGCCTTAAAACTAGCCCGATGGATTTACGGCATATGTTTGGTGATTAGCTATATTACATCGGGTTTAGCGATGATTATATATATTACGCCTTGCCGGGGCTTGCGATGGCCGGTTGAGTGCCTTATAGGAGTAGGACGTGGGCACTGAATGTGTCCCCAGCCGGCATTGTAATAACCGTCGATGGTTACATAGTTATACGCTGGAAGAGGAGATCGGATCGGAGGTCCGGATAGCGTAACTGGCAACGCATCTGCACGGTAAGCAGGAGTTGTGGGTTCGAGTCCCGCTCCGGGCCGATTTTTTCTCCCAGCGGTTCTAAATTATTTAAATTAATTAATTTATTTATAATTATTAATATTAATAAGAGATGGCGCCTAACGCTTACCTCTAGTGCCAAATTAATTACGTAATTTATTTAGTAATTAGCCTTAAAACTAGCCCGATGGATTTACGGCATATGTTTGGTGATTAGCTATATTACATCGGGTTTAGCGATGATTATATATATTACGCCTTGCCGGGGCTTGCGATGGCCGGTTGAGTGCCTTATAGGAGTAGGACGTGGGCACTGAATGTGTCCCCAGCCGGCATTGTAATAACCGTCGATGGTTACATAGTTATACGCTGGAAGAGGAGATCGGATCGGAGGTCCGGATAGCGTAACTGGCAACGCATCTGCACGGTAAGCAGGAGTTGTGGGTTCGAGTCCCGCTCCGGGCCGATTTTTTCTCCCAGCGGTTCTAAATTATTTAAATTAATTAATTTATTTATAATTATTAATATTAATAAGAGATGGCGCCTAACGCTTACCTCTAGTGCCAAATTAATTACGTAATTTATTTAGTAATTAGCCTTAAAACTAGCCCGATGGATTTACGGCATATGTTTGGTGATTAGCTATATTACATCGGGTTTAGCGATGATTATATATATTACGCCTTGCCGGGGCTTGCGATGGCCGGTTGAGTGCCTTATAGGAGTAGGACGTGGGCACTGAATGTGTCCCCAGCCGGCATTGTAATAACCGTCGATGGTTACATAGTTATACGCTGGAAGAGGAGATCGGATCGGAGGTCCGGATAGCGTAACTGGCAACGCATCTGCACGGTAAGCAGGAGTTGTGGGTTCGAGTCCCGCTCCGGGCCGATTTTTTCTCCCAGCGGTTCTAAATTATTTAAATTAATTAATTTATTTATAATTATTAATATTAATAAGAGATGGTGCCTAACGCTTACCTCTAGTACCAAATTCGTTATGTAATTAATATAGTAATTAGCCATAAAACTAGCCCGATGGATTTACGGCGTACGTTTGGAGATTACAGACAGAAATTCCCACTGTTGTGCACTTACTAGTGGGTCAAGTTAAACGTATGAAAATTAGAAAATACATAGTTTTGGCAACATCCGTGAAGTTTAACAGCTCTTTTCATATAAACTACAGAAAATTTATAGTACTTGGCAGATGTGTAAAATATTACACCCAAAATGTCCTCTCCATTAACACTGGCACTATTGCAGTATTGTATTTAGATAAAAATTGAAAAATTTCACTATTACTACCAATACAGAAAAACTTATTGATCACCTTATTACCTCAATACATTATTAGTCATATTTATGATGAATTAACAAAATTTAAATCTATCTGATAAATTATACCGACAGATTTGGAAACAACTATTTCTATTAATAAAAACTACTTTCAAAAGCAGCATCATCAAAACTTATTCAGCTAATTATTTTTAACAGCAAATCCATGACAAAATGTATTGGGTTGTTTGGAAAGTAATTTCGTTTTTTTACCATTAGACGGATTAGTCGCATTTTTCCTGCCATTTTCATTCTAAACTGTATTATCATCATATATTTTAACAGCTAACATTTTAAGGCTTATTTATAAAAAATTTTGTTAGATTCTGTGCAATTGTTTATTTTTTGTCCCATCAAATATGGAAGATCGAAAGCAGCATTTTCAGCTCTTTTGTTACCGAAAAAGTAAGAATGCTGTTCAAGCAAGAAAAAAATTGTGTGACGTGTATGGAGAAGATGTATTGAGAGAAAGACAGTGCCAAAACNATATTTTAACAGCTAACATTTTAAGGCTTATTTATAAAAAATTTTGTTAGATTCTGTGCAATTGTTTATTTTTTGTCCCATCAAATATGGAAGATCGAAAGCAGCATTTTCAGCTCTTTTGTTACCGAAAAAGTAAGAATGCTGTTCAAGCAAGAAAAAAATTGTGTGACGTGTATGGAGAAGATGTATTGAGAGAAAGACAGTGCCAAAACAGGTTTACAAAATTTCGTTCTGGCAATTTCAATATTGAAGATGCACCACGTTCTGGATGGCCAGTTGACGCCAATGAAAACAAAATAAAGATACTGATTGAAGCAAACTGCCAAATAACAACATGTGAAATCACTAAGAGATTAAATCTGTCAAATTGAACTGCTTATGATTACTTGAAACAAACTGGTTTTGTTTCAAAGCTTGATATACGGGTTCTACATGTCCTTAGAGTGATGCTCTCTTTGGTGGGATTTCAAGGAAATTTTTTTTGGGAGCTTTTACCAGACAATTTAACAATTGATTCGAAAGTGTACTGCCATCGAGTAAACAAATTGAGTAATATCATCAAACAGAAAAGGCGGCAGACTTGATCAACAAAACAGGTGTAGTGTTTTACCACAATAATGTCAAATTTCACACAAGGTTGGTAACTTGTCAGAAACTGTTATAACTTAGATGGGACCTGCTATCACACCAACCATATTCACCAGATCGAGCACACTTGGATTATTACTTGTTCCGGCCTATACAAATTTTTTTTAACTGTAAGACATTTACTTGAAAAATGACAATGTCAAAAATCACTTGGATCAGATTTTTGTAAGCAACGATCAAAACTTTTATGAATGTGAAATTATGCTACCACCAAAAAAATGACAACAGGTATTTGACCAAAATGGCCAATATATACAGTAGAGCATCGATTATCCGACCCCCCGATTAACCGTCACATTGGTTAACCGACCGTTCTAGTTGGCAAATTTCAAATGTCCGCTAGTGATGTGGCGCTACAATATTTGGCTATGTCTTGGCTACTTTAATATTATTTTTGTTAAATTTTTGCATGTTTTTGCATGTTTTAGCTGGCATCAACGGCTCGACCATTGAAGGGAAGCCAGTATTTAAACGAGACTTAATTTTCTAATTATGAGTGGTTGTTTGTTTTGTTAGCAATAAAATAATTTAAAAATAATTTTTAACGATACAATAGCGACGATTATTATTTTAAAAAAATTTGTTAGGCTAAACATTGATGAAAATTCAACGCAAAGTTGGTTAATAGCAATACAGTAGACCCCCCTATAATGCTTAGATACGTTCCACGTTAATCGAATTTTACGTTGTAGGAATCATTAAATACATGAGCCAATTGCAACCCGATAGGTGTGAAGTTTACGGACTAAGGCTGTTTGAAAGGTTTTCTTCTATAAAATTAACCGATTCTAGACTAATTCCACTCAACATTTCCAAAACACATATAATTTTTTGGGAATAATCTGTATAAACTATAATATATACAAAAAATTCCGAGTGTGCACCGTTCGACTACGCCATTGCTCAAAACTTGTTTTCATCGCGAAACAGCGCACGAAACGGCGGCCGTGATTTCTGATAACGAATTTTTCGCAGAAAAATAACTTGACCTTTGACATCATTAATATAAATAATTTTTATGGCTGTTGAATAAGAAATGTTTCTTTCACAAGAAATGTATAAAATTACAGTACTGTATTAGACTTACGGTACCTAATTTACATACTGTACAGACGTAGTTAGCGTAAAAATCTCCGNAACGCTTTTATTATGATTTTATATTTATACAGAAAAAATTATAGGCAAAATATATAACAAAAGAAAAAGTATCAGCTTAAATATACTGTATATACAGTAGAGCATCGATTATCCGACCCACGATTAACCGTCACATCGGTTAACCGACCGTTGTAGTTGGCAAATTTCAAATGTCCGCTAGTGATGTGGCACTACAATATTTGGCTGTGTCTTGGCTACTTTAATATAATTTTTGTTAAATTTTTGCATGTTTTAGCTGGCATCAACGGCTAGACCATTAGAGGGAGGCCAATATTTAAACGAGACTTAATTTTCTAATTATGAGTGGTTGTTTGTTTCATGAGCAATAAAACAATTTAAAAATAATTTTTAACGATACAATAGCAACGATTATTATTTTAAAAAAATTTGTTAGGCTAAACATTGATGAAAATTCAACGTAAAGTTTGTTAATAGTGATATACTAAAATTAATCACATGGGATATACTAATATCCTAATATACTATACTAATAATGTATTTTTTTCCTTCTTTTCAGTTATCTGATTTTTTCAGTTATCCGACCAACCTGAGTCCCCAATTGAGTCGGATAATCGATGCTCTACTGTAATTCAATAAAATATTTATTTATTATAAAAATATATTTTTTCCATGGAAAAAAAACAAAATTACTTTCCAAACAACCCAATATATATTTTAAAATTGTGAAAATAGACAACATTGAAGACTTGTACAAAAAAAATCCAGCAATAAGCTACTTAACTTTCCTGGCACCACCATCTGTTACAATATTTTATTAAAAAGAACTTTTTATATTTTTAATTATTATAAAATGACAAAAATTTTAATTCTGAGGGTAGGAAGGAGTTTTATAAAAAACTGTAAATGCTAATAACCAGTAAAATCATCATTAAGTCCAACCCTACTGGAGATACACACAGCCCCCTTTATCTCTCCACTTCCTAGACCTTTAATTACCAAAATTTAATAGTACTGATCCCCTAATTAACATACCTCCCTGCAAAATTTCAACAATTTTTGACAAAATGAATGGGAGTTATTAACCTTTCAACAGTGGACTAGTCGGATATGGTTCTATCTTCATTAGTGGAGAACAAACGTGGGAAATTTTTAAAGTATTTTTCCACACGTTTTTTCTCATTACTGTTTCAGAAAAAGATTTTGTAAACAGTTATTTCTAGTAAAGAAAACTCTTTTTTGTTGTTACATAATTCACTTTTCATGTGAATTTTTTTTCACAGTAGTTTTAGGCTAGTTTTTGGAGATACCCCTGAAAAGAATTTGACGACTATAGTCATTGCTCACTGCTGAGTGGTTAAGCTTTAAAAGTGAAAAAAATCATGCAACACAAACACACTAACATCCATATATACAAAAAAAACTCAAATTATTTGCATTTCTTGAAATTTCAAGGTCTAGAGTCCAAAAATGTAAAAATATTGGAGGAGTCATCTTTTTTTACAAATTGTCATATTTTGTTTGTTAACAGCAAAGAAAGTAAAAAGAAAAAACTTTTGAGACCTTCTAAATGTCCTTTCACAATCAATGGAACACAGTCAACACTGGTAGATTCAACCTTCCATTGTAGGCTCTTCCTATATATATTTATGTAAATTGTTTAATCTGCCAGTGTTGACAGTGTTCTAGTGATTGTGAAAGGACATTTAATTAATTTTATCGCGATTTTAATCTACCTTTAATGACGCACGATTAACATTTAATTGTTTTTTTATCAAATTTCATTCATCATTCTAAAGTTCTAGTGCACAGATTTTACTTTGGTAAAGTTACTTAAAGCTACTTTCTGATATCAAAAACGACCTNCGTTATAGTAATCCTTAAATACATGAGCCAATCACAGCCCAGCACGTGCGCAGTTTACGGACTACAGCTGTTTGAAAGGTTTTCTTCCATAAAATTAATCGATTCTAGACTAATTTCACTCAACATTTCCAAAACATGTATAATTTTTTGGGAATAATTCGTATAAACAAAAAATTGTAGGATTACTTACCGAGTGTGCACCGTTTGACGATGCCATTGCTTAAGCTTGTTTTTGTCGCGGAGCAGCGCACCAAATGGCGGGTGCGTTTCCTAATAAGTTATTTTTCTGCGAAAACTTTGTTGAACTTTGGAGACATCATTAATATAAATAATTTTTATGGCCGTTGAATAAGAAATGTTTTTATCACAAGAAATGTATAAAATTACAGTACTGTATTAGACTTACAGTACCTAATTTATATACTGTACAGACAATAGTAAACTCAACTTACCTGCCTAAACTCTCTGTAGCGTGTAAGTAGTTCAGCTGCTCATCCACTATTGGTCCAGATTTGACCAATCCTGTCGTGACACAAGTCGGCAATGACATTTTATCGCATTTTATGAGTCTCTTTTAGTGTCTTTGTACGAATACGGTCGCAATTTTTTCACCGCGATATACAAATCCGCATTATAGGGGGTCTACTGTATATACATGCAGCAGTAGTAAATAGTGTAAATTTTATAATGTATTTTCTATAGTTTACATTGATGATTTGATCTTAAATTTTAATTTTAAATTCTTATTACAAAAATATCTTTATCAAACACATGTTGATAATGACTTCAGCATACTTTCAATACAGCACTTTTGTGTTCATTATTAAAGCTTCTTTATGCTGCTCTGCTTACAATTTATAAGAATAATTTATTTGCATAATTTTGAGCAATGTTTTGTAAATAAAAATAATAATAATAATAATGTTGTTATTTATTATTATTACAGTTTATTTGTTTAATTATATATTTACACAAGTTCTTATTTAAAGACTTTCCATTCTAAAATAATGATAAGGTCAACCTTTCAATAAAACTAAAAAAAAAAAAGCTAATTCATAATTTATATTAATAATTACAGACTCAATTCCATCTACTCAACTTATATTACTAATTCAATTTAAAATATTTTCATTCTTACATAAAAGACTAAAATATATTTCATACAAATACATGAATGTAATTTTAATAAATTTTATCTGCCCATTATGTCTAAATAGAAAATAATTGTTTCAAATCTAATGTTTATTTCCTTGAAAAAATAATTTATAATTTATAGATTTTTTTAAAGTTATAAGTAAGAAAATTATAACTAAAGCATTTATTTCTCATCAATAAAAATATTATGAATCATCATTTATTATAAGCAACTTACTTAGTCCTTATTATTAACTCTCAATTATAACACTAGAAAATATAGTAAAGAAGTCTTTATTTTTATTTTTAACAGTATAAATTAAATTTAACAGTATAAATTAAAAATAAATTAAAACAAAAAAGTTTTTGTTTTAAAATTATTCATTTAATTTAAAAAAAGCTAAATAAAAAGTATTCAAAAATATAAATTTAAGATAATTATAAAATTACCTTTACATAGATTCTATAATTAAGATAATTACATTAAATTAAAATAATTAAGATAATTACATTAACTTTTAACTTTATAAGTATTTTAGAATAATATATTTTACTTGTTGCATCCATCCGCCTTGTTCTGATCTTTCTGCAAATCTTGGAAAAGCGGCATGAACAACTTGAATCAATATCAAAGGAGAGAGTGTTGCTCCAGATCTTTCCATTAATTCATATAAATCTCTCATGACTGTAAAACAAAAAAGCTTAATTAAAAAACTGCTTATTCAAATATATTTTAATATATAAAATAAATTTTAAAATTCAAAATTTTAAGGACAGAATTGAATATATGGGCAATTTTGTTCAATATATACAATCATGCATAAATATCAAATCAAAATAAAAAAAATAATATAACAAATAGGAAAAATATCTTGTAAGAATTAATTCAGATAATTTTTTCATTAAAATAAAATAAATTATAATAAATTTTTTAGCAGAAACAAAAAGGATTAGATTTTAGTAACTGTATCAATAAATATATATTGATGTTCTCTCTCAAACTACAAAAATTGAACTGACATTTACGAGGGATATGTGACCCATAAAGAAAGGTCCATAAATTACAATATACCATTGCCCTACATTTTTAGTGTGTTTACTCTAAGAACTTTTAAAATGTATATATTTTAAAAGGCTAATAAGAATCTCTTAATAGCACTTAAAATCAGTGAAGAATGATCCAGACAATCCATATTCCCATTTTAAAACAAAGGAAAGTGCATTCTGTCAAAAATCCTAAAAATTTTGATGAATAAATTGGATATGCTCTATTGAATGATGATACAGTAGAGCATTGATTATCCGACTCAATTGGGGACTCGGGTTTGTCGGATAACTGAAAAGAATGAAAAAAATACATTATTAGTATAGTATATTAGTATATCCCATGTAATTAGTATATTAATATATGGCTCTTAACCTACTTCGCATTAAATTTTCATCAATGTTTAGCCTAACAAATTTTTTTAAAATAATAATCGTCGCTATTGTATCGTTAAAATTATTTTTAAATTATTTTATTGCTCACAAAACAAACAACCACTCATAATTAGAAAATTAAGTCTCGTTTAAATACTGGCCTCCCTTTCATGGTCGAGCCAGTGTTGCCAGCTAAAACACACAAAAATTAAAAAAAAAAAATTATTAAAGTAGCCAAGACATAGCCAAATATTGTAGCGCTACATCACTAGCAAACATTTGAAATTTGCCGACTAGAATGGTCGGTTAACCAATGTGACATTTAATCGGGGGTCGGATAATCGATGCTCTACTGTATTTTCAACTTCTGGTACTGGCCAGAAATGGGCTATCCAGAAGAAAATTCAAATTTTTAAAATAAAATACACAGGTTCCTATAGTTCAGATTCCTATATGATGGCGAAAAAATTGCAACGGTATCCGTATAAACATGGTAAAAAACTCCTATAATTCGGTAAAACGTCATCAGGCAGTCGAACTACTTTCCGCTGTCCAGTGCCTCGATATGGAGAGTTTAGGCAGGTAAACTGAGTTTACTATCATCTGTACAGTATTATATATCAATTATACATAAATCAGGTACTGTATATATAATTATGTATTAATTTATTGTAACTTTATTATAATTATATATATACTTTCCGCCGTCTAGCGCCATGCTACGGAGAGTTTAGGCGAGTAAGTTGAGCTTACTATCGTCTGTACAGTTTGTAAATTAGGTACCGTAAGTCTAATACAGCACTGTAATTTTATACACTTCTTGTGAAAGAAACATTTCTTATTCAACGGCCATAAAAATTATTTATATTAATGATGTCTCCAAAGTTCAACAAAGTTTTCGCAGAAAAATAACTTATTGGAAATCGTGGCCGCCGTTTGGTGCGCTGCTCCGCGATGAAAACAAGCTTAAGCAATGGCGTCGTTGAACGGTGCACACTTGGTAAGTAATCCTACAATTTTTTGTTTATAGCATAGTTTATACAAATTATTCCCAAAAAAATATACGTATTTTGGAAATGTTGAGTCAAATTAGTCTAGGAATCGATTAATTTTATGGAAGAAAACCTTTCAAACAGGTGTAGTCCATAAACTTCACACGTGTCAGGCTGTGATTGGCAAGGTCTCCTAAAATATCAATTTCATAAAAAACAGAACGTATCTACCATCTTATAGGGAGGTTGACTGTACAACAGTTTAAAATTTAGAAAAATATATATATAGCCTACCAAACACTGAAAATCATTTGTGCATTCCTTTAAAGTGTAGAATCAAATTTAATTCTATTAAATGATGAAAATATATTAATTTTTTAAAAAGATCATGTTAAATTGAGCATATAGTTATTCTAAATTCATCTTTATAAGTAAACAATGAATATTTACTACGATTAATGACTAAATGACCACTGAAGTTGGCAATCTTCTTAAGTCTACTTTTTGAACAATTCAGCAATTTATAAAATTTTGTAAATTTTAATTAACAAAGTGTAAAAATTTGTGATTTAAACAAGAAAGAAGCATAGAAAGCAACAGGAAACTACTAAGCTTTATTACTAATGTAGCAATCTCCCTAGCAAGATGAACACAAGTAGAAATAGTGAGAAGAATGGCATTGGGGTTGCAACAATTCTAACTGCAACACCTTGCCCAATAGAGAAAAGGGGGCTCCCCAGAATATCAGCCTGTGAAGCCCCCACAGAGACTCTTGAAAATTGGACCTTGGAACATGAGGACCTTAAGGAAGATTGGAAAGCTGGAAAATCTGAAGAATGAGTGAGAGTAAAATGAGAAAGATCCCAAGTGGATTGGAGATTAGCCTTCAAAATGAAAATTAATGTTAACAAAACCAAAGTGATATGGATCAGAGAAAAGGAAAGAAAGGTCAACATCCATATACTGATGACAAAATGAAACAGGTTTAGATACCTGGGTGCTTGGTTTGACTAAGTGCAGAAGGGGGAAAGAACTCAATTTTTCCATGACATTCAAGTTCTCGTGTCTGCACCATCTACAATTTGTATGATTCTGGTGATAATTTATACCCATATTTAAATTTAATTTTCATCTTTTGAATTTTTCATAATAGCAAAATGTTCTTTTATTTTCCTTTTTTATTATAAAGAGAACAACATAAAGTAATGGTTTTAAAGTATTTTAAAATTGATTTATTTAAATTGGATGAAAAATCAGAAAAGTAAAAAAAGGATAACTATGAATTATATCAAAGTTTTATCAGAATTTATATTTTTTTATATAATTTTAATTATATTTGAAGCTGATGAATTAGATAGCAGACCTAAATGCACATCATGTATCTCAATGAAATTGTTGTCAGCAGTTTTAAATTCATTGTGAGTATAGAATCACTGAAATATATCTTCTGTGGTGCTCAACTGATAAAATTCTGACATATTCACTAATGTGATGTCAAATCAAAACTGTCAAATGATCAAGCTGATTTTGGATTTGTTCTACTCTCATTCCTCAATAAAGTTAAGATGGTAGATTGTTGTAAAAATGCCTCACATTATTTCTACAACAATGCATTGTGGTATGTTGATAATGATGAATCTTGTTGTGATCATTCATTTTTAATGGTCCCAACACAAATTTCACATAATGTCCTGGCTACTTATAAAGAACCTCAACACATTCTGTTTCATGACACACTACAAGCAGCCAGAGCATGAAATTTCTTGTTGTGGTTGTTCTTGTAAAGCCAAAACAAGAAATTCCAGTTATTTTTTTTTTCATTTACTGAGCATTTCCAATCTTTCAGCCTAACACACACAACTGTAGGAAAAATAGTAAAAACAATTATCACTTATCCATCCACTGCTACAGATCTTTCATTTCAGCATGTAAATTTAAATCTTTATATCTACCAAGATTCATAATGTATATGTTTTATAAACACTATTTATAGCTACTCAAATTAATATTAAATAAAAACAGATTAAAATAAGAATGTCAACATACCAGCTGTAATAGACTGAGAAGGTGTCAAATTTCCTAACATTGAATAGGTTCCTTGATATCTAAATATTAGACAAAAATGTATTATATAAATTTCATAAATTATTTTTTTTTATAAATAAATTTTCATTATATGTTGTTTATTATTATAAAATTAATTAAAACCACGTTGTTCAATTGACATTTCAATAAACTGAGTATTTAAATTAATTAAATCACTCAAATAACTTTTGAACAAAGACATCTGGAGTTATGGAATTACGTACTGGTATGGTAAAGTAACCATGCACTACCAGATGAGACTGATGAAAACTTCTCTAGTAGTAAAATTTGAAAATTAGCACTCCTACCTTGGAAACTATAAGAGATACAGGAAAAAAGTAAATAAGACAGTTACAGAGCATCATCAAATTAGTAGGAAATGATATTTTACTGAAATAGATGACACAAATAAAAAACTGGAAACTATGCACAATACCATCAAGGCACCAATACAATATCACATCATCAAAATTTGTATGCAAGTAGTACATTCTCATATGCAAAAGATGGTCATGACATGACTTTGCTCCTGCAAATAAAAACTTAGGCAGGGCAATGAGAAAATAATCATCAATCATCAAATTATCCTTTTCTTTTCTGTGAAATGTGAGACAGGAGTGCTAACTTATAAATTTTACCATTATGAAAGTTGCCATAAGTCTCATGTGGTAGTGCATGATCACTTTATCATACCAATACCTCACTCCTATTGTTGCAGTTATCTTCATTCAAAAATTATTTGGGTGACTTAAAACTTTATTGTGCATCCTATGTATATTACATTATATTTTATATAACAAATTAATTTTTTAAATTAAAACTACTCAGAGTAAAGAAAAAATGAAAGGGTATAATAAAAAGACATTAAAACACACTGATTACAAACATTCAACTTTTAAAAATAATTTACAGTAAAAATTATTGTTCTTTTTCTAATTATTTAAAGCACTTCATACTTTTTTCCCCTCTAGCAATTTGTTATTTTAATGCTGCTGTTTTTCAAACATATTTAAAATCCATTTTTAGGCAACTACACAGAGAATATCACAGCTTACATACCAAAATATTTCAAAATTATGTAATGTTCCATATTCAAATTTCATGATTTGTCAGTGAGATGATACATTTGAACTTTAGGAATGTGTGTTCTTTTTTAGAATGTAAGTTGTAATAATTTATGTATGGTTGCCTGAAGATGAGTGTTAAATGTGTCTGAAAACATTAGCATGGAAACAATAAATTAATAGAGAAAGAAAGCTTGGAGTGTTTTAGACAATTAGAAAAATATCTATCATTTTTTACTCTTCTAAGCAATAAACTCTTTTGCTTTGATAATTTACAACATATTTCTAAAATTAATTGAATTTGTAGTAACATAATTATTAATTTTAATAATTGTAATGTTCTTTTCTCTTTCTTCTTTAGATTTCATAGCAGATCAAACTTTTTCATACTATAAGGTGACAGGGTCAATGAACAGAAGATAAAACTAACAGCAGTAGAAATAGATGCATAAAAATCTAGAATAAAAATGATAGGAAATGAGATGAAGATGGAGAAAAGCATAATACAAATAATACAGGAAGAACATCAGAATGGCATGTCAGAAGAATGCATGGAGTTATAACTCAAATGGTGGCAGAAAATACCGGAATTACTGGAAAAAATAAAGAAAAAGATAACAGTTAGATTGGCTCACTGGAATACCATGCTTTAGAAATTGGAAAAAAGTATGAATGAATTTTCCTCCTGATAATGCCTTTATCAAACTCAATGTACTTCTTGCTTTTCACACCGCTTGTCTTGCCTGGTGTACGTACGGCACTCATTTTTTTTTTCACAAATCATACGAAATACACTCACCATACTAACACCCATGCACATGGATACAAGCTCAATTGTATTCTGTACCAACTTTTCTGGATACTATTTACAAACAGTGATATAAGTATTCAAAACAATCTGTTTTTCACCACTGTTTAACAGCTAGTCTTTCTTGTGCCTGGTAAACAATATCTCACTCCTGATCAGCCATCTCACATATCAAATATACAGCTTATATACACAGAAATGTAATTCATATACTGTATATGAATTACATATATATATATATATATATATATATATTCCATGAGACACTGAGAATTCCTAAATCCTTTACTCGGTCTACATTAAAGTTTTCATACTTATTCTCTGGGAGTTCGGACTAAATATAGACGACCACCAAAACCTGCATACACCTGATTTAACAGTATTAACTTTTAATGTCTTTGCTCGACCGCACCAGATTTTTCACTATTATTTCCTGGGACACAATCAATGTGTCTGTGTAATGTGAATAAAGTTCACATTACACAGACACAACAACTACAAGAAGTTTCAGAGAAAGCGGTTGCAATGATAATAAATCGGAANGAATTTTTTAAAAGGAAAAACTTTTGAGGATGAGAACAATGTAAAAAAGGCTATTTCTGAATATTTTGATTCAAAACCGAAATCATTTTACAAAGACGGGATTAAAAAGCTACCATCAAGATGGCAAGAAATTGTACAAAATAATGGTGAATACATTATAGATTGAAATAAGATTTAATTAAAATTTTTTGTTGCTTTTTTTGTAGATAAAAATACACACGAACTGATGGACTCTCCTGATATATATATATATATATATATATATGCCTCTTACAACGCAGTAGTTATGTTCCTTGAGAATACCGCATTGTGGGAAATCGCGTTACAGGAGACACCAACTTAATATAAAAACTTGGATTCGGTTCTAAAAAGAGAAAAACTTGGTGTTTGAATGGCATTTTTAAAATTTTTCAAACCAGCCATTGCTAGCCCCTAATTTAACACTAGTTTCATCAGCTGATGACTGTCCCATTTGTTTTAAATAATCAAATATTTTTAAGGCTTTGTGTTTAAGTGCACTTTTATTTAAAGGCAACCGTTTCTACCCATAATATTAGCACTTGTTCCATTTTTTCCATTATAGGTGCTCTCAGACGAGCAACATTTTTTGCAAGAATACATGATCCGAATGCGACCAAATTCCTAATCTTTTCTTCCGATTGCTTAATCGACTGAATAGTTGACTCATTTAAATTAAAATGCCTACCAATCTCAGCTATCCGCTCTTGATTTTTAATTCAATCCAAAATTTCTATCTTTGTTTGAAGAGATATAAATTTCCTTTTTAACGACGGTTTTTTTCATTCGGCATTGTTAAGGCTAGAATTTTTTTCAATCAGTTTTGTGGACAGTAAAAATCGCAAAAAATAACTTCCCTTCACTATGTTGTTAAAAATGTATACCCAATAGAAGTTTATACTTATTTTGGAACATTTTTGTGATCCAGGCCTATTGAAAGTATAAATGATCAAAAATTTAGTGATATATTTCAGTGTTTAAGGTAACTGATGCACATCTGCCTAGAAATCAGTCTTTCCCTGAAATTTTCACGGGAATGACATGTCAACATCGACAAACAGCTGTTTTCAAGGACATTTAGCTCTGTACACCAAACTGTGGCTTCTATCACGTGATCTGTTGCGAGTTTTCTGTTATGTGAAAGATAATTTGTTTCTAAATACCGTAAACCGCGTTGTAAGAAAATTTCCGCATTTTTCCCAAACGTGTTGGAGCGAAAACACATTGTAAAGGTACTGCATTGTAGGAGTTATTTTATATATATATATAAAATAAACAAATCATAGAATAATAAACTTAAAATATTTCAAATATAAAATGTATATCCTAATTCAAATATTTAAAACTCATAATTCAAAATTTTGCCATGATGATTTGCCAAATTTAAAAAATTGTTAAAGTTCTTTGTTAGTAAGTTCAAATATTTTAAATAAAATTTTAAAGTATTTAAATTTACAAATACTTACGATTTTAGTGCTTGAATAAGTTCTGGCACTACTTTTAAACATTGCACCGTAGCATTAATGTAACATGTATTTCCAACATTAGTTAAACCAGTTGGCAATTCCATCTACATAATAACAACAAATCTAAATTTAAAAATATCTAATTTTTTAAAAGTACAGTAGAGCGTCGATTTTCCGAAAGTCAATCATCCAAAACGTCAATCATCCGAAAGAATTTCAGTCGGCAAATTTAAATTTTTGCCAGTGCTGTGGCGCTTCAATCCTTGGCTATGTCTTGGGCTACTCAAATATTTTACGTTTTTGATACTAAATTAATATCTGAAGTATAACTTTTTATATTTTTCAATATATTTATTTTGTTTGTACAAAATAAAAAAAATTTTTTAACAATACAATAGCCTTCATTAGGCTTAACATCGACGAAAATTCAATGCAAAACGACACGCAACGGATAAAAATTTCGACATGGATACATTAAACTATTTTTTCGTACATAAATCAGTTATCCGAAATATCAGTTATCCGGACAACCCCAGTCCCCAATTGATTCGGAAAATCGACGCTCTACTGTAAATCATAAAATTTAATTGACAATTGTCAGTTATATTATCCATATGATTTTTTATGCATGTAACATATTTGAAGTCATTTGTTACACATTTACATTAAAATGGCATTACATACCACATTTTACAATTAAAATTACAGAACTGTCTTTTGGTGGGTTTTTTTTTAAAAGACAGTTCTATAATTTTGGTTGTTATACATTTGTTACACTAATTTCTTGTGTTTTACTAAATAAATTTTTTTAATCAAAATAATTATAATTCACTTTCTACCTGAAATCACAAATTTTGGTTTTTCTTTATGGATCTATAGACGCAATTTGTTCACTCTGGTTTTTTCCTTTTTATGTATTTTGATAGTTGAAGATCAAAAGGAAATTTGGAACAGTTTAAACAAATTATTATAAAAAAGTGGTTGTAGTTATCAAATATACTTTTAGTTTTATACAATACAGTAGCTCCTTATTATATCATTCATTTGAATATGTTGCACTTTTTTGTCTTCCAAATAAAAAAGCACTTTAGCTAGTAATTTTTAACAAATCAATAGCTACTGAATTTCTGCATCCAATTGCTGACCTTGAAAGTATCATTGTATAAAATACAACCTGCAAAAAAGCAAGTTGGCACAGAGATTGAAAATACCCTGTAAACAAAATGGATGTATAGATACATTGGTTATGTTGTGCCATCCAATATATTGTGACAGCCAGGATTTGACAAAAAAATTTTGAGAGAAAAATAAAATTTTTCCAGTGAAAAAATAACTTAATTATCAGAGAATATGATCATATCTTTCGCTGGAGTCACTTCCTTTTCCAGATGACACATCAAATGTGTCACCGGAAACCTAACAACAAAAAAAATTACCAAAAAAATGGGCAGGAGAAGAAAGAAGGAAAAAAAGGAAATGTCCAATGACGACATGGAAAGTTCGGCCAACAACGAGAGTTCTCCAATCCACCTCCTTGAGAAAGGATATTCGAGTGTGCTCCCCCATTGCCAATCCTGTCCTCCACTGCTATTCATCGAACCATAGCTTTTTGTACTGGACATTCGAACTATACCCGCGAGGAACCCTACAAACTTGAATTTTTTCACTCGTTCATCAAGTGATCTATGATAGTCCAACCTTGATTTCAACTCATCAATTAAGTTTATCAAGATATTTATCACCGTGTGCAGAAATTTAAACACTCTCACGGCTAGGGTCCCATTTCAATAGTATTTTTTTTGCTGTACAGAAGATCCATTAAATATGTTACACTATAAAAAGTCTTATCAATTTTGTTACGCTATATAAAGCTATAACGGAAATGCTATGCGTTATGCTATGTATATATATCTAAATGTAAATAAATAAATGGGTATTTGTTTATGTAAAGCTGTAGTTGAGCACATTCCTCCGGATATGCTGTCTCTCATATGTCCTACATCTGAAATCTGACTGCAAACCACTTGCGTGAACCAAAATGAACAACCATTGAGGTTTCTGTGTCTGTCCTTAAGACACAGTGGTGTCAGTCCTGATGTAAGCATCGTTGATCCTGTGTCAACCCTTCAGTCACAATATTGTTCATTTGGTTTGTCTCCTGACATGAGTAATACAGGGTGTTTCAAAATGAATATTGGGGTTTTAAAGCTTTATAGTATTTATTACATTTAAGTTACAATTATAAATAAGACATCAAATGAAAGAGCAACTCAAACAGTTTTGTTGGGTACACCTGTGATGCACTGTTTCCTCTGTCTTCCGTTAGAAAGCATTAGTAGCAAAGCGCTTTCTAACAGCAACTAGTAAACAGAAAGCTTTTTGTGTTTTACAGTTTGCAAGGACTGAATCTGTAGTTATGGTGCAATGTGCATTCCGTATTAAGTTCTGTTGTAATCATCCAAGTAATAACAACATTCATAGATGGTATCATCAGTTTGAAGACACTGGCTGTCTTTGTAAAGGGAAGAGTATGGGACGACCAAGAGTGACTGAAGAACATGTTGAATGAGTGAGAGAGTCTTTCACGCGTAGCCCCAAGAAATCAGTGCGGAAGGCTAGTTGTGAATTAGCATTGCAAGTGATGTCTGTGTGGAGAGTTTTAAGGAGATGCTTACAACTATGTCCTTATCATTTGCAGTTGTTACAAGTTCTAAAGCTTACAGACTATGGTTTACGTGCCAACTTTGAAAAAAGGAAATGTTGCTGCACGACGACAAAGATTTTCTGGATCGTGTCATCTTCAGTGATGAATTGACATTTCACCTAAGTGGAAATGTGAACACTCATAATGTGCACATTGGGGTCAGCAAATCCCCAGGAGATGGTACAGTTGCAATGAGACTCCCCAAAATTGAATGTTTTTTGTGCCATATCCTGACAAAGTTTATGGGCCTTTCTTTTTCAGTGAAGCAACTGTAACTAGTGTTTCATATCTTGATGTGCTACAACTATGGCTCTTTCCCCAAGTGGAAAAAGCCAAACCAGAGAACTTTATTTGGCAGCAAGATGATGCGCCGCCTCACTGGCATAACTCGGTACATGATTGGTTAAACGACATTGTACCCAACCACTGGATTGGGCGCCAGGGGGCAGATGAGAGCTCGTTTTGCATGGCCTCCATGTTCACCTGATCTGACGCCATGCGACTTTTACCTTTGGGGGTTCATAAAGGACCATGTGTATATGCTTCCACTACCAGCTGACCTACCTGACTTAAGAAACAGAATTGAAGCAGTTGTTACAACAATTACTCCAGACACACTGATCAAGGTTTGGGAAGAACTTGTCTATCGACTGGACGTGTACCATGTGATGAATGGTGCTCACGATGAACACTTGTAGGAAAAACTGTTTGAGTTGCTCTTTCATTATTTATAATTGATTAATACTACAAATATAATTAATAAATACTACAAAGCCTTAAAACCCCAATATTCGTTTTGAAACACCCTGTATAAGGAGCTAATGTATTATGAAATTTGCATAGATTAATGTGATGTATTAACAATTTTTCAAATTCTAACTGGATGACTTATTAGTACATAAAATCTCACTAATCGCAAAAATTAGTCTATGTGCACTTGATGAAGATTCCATTGTTTGAATTTCCTGATAAAAGTCTTCAGAATAGGTCAAAACTGTTAGATAATTTTGACAACTGCTGGATTAATTTTCAAGGTTAGTGAGATTTTGTATATTAATATATAAATCATATATAAAAACATCACATTAATTATTGTAATGTTTTGATAAAACAGTTTTCAATGCATAATAATTTGCTAAATGCATTTGCAGTTTATGGTATTATATGAGATTTTGAACGACACTAATTTCATCTTTATAAAATAAAAAAAAATGAAGTAGAAGCTCCATATTCATGCATTCTTTATTCAGAGTTTGGTACTTAAAACAATTTTTCACATTTGCTTATTCATGGAAGAATTAACAAAATTAATAAAACAATGAATAAAACAGCATGATTTTTAATCTTTTTATCTTAAAAGGTATTTTACTGAAATTCATATTTTCAACCATCAGAGTGGATATTATTTTTACTAATAGATACTATTTTTAGTTTCTGGAGTTATTCCGCAACATGAACCTATGAGGATAGTAAATGTGTTTTATAGTAGTATGCATTGTGGATGCTAGTTTTATGAGGAAATTTTAAAGTTCTTTTATCTTTAAAATTTCCTCATAAAAGATTTTAATTTCCTCACATTTTAAAAATATTTATCTTTTTTAAAAACTCTTTTATCTTTAAAAAATATTTATAAATCAGCAATGTTGTCTAAACAAACTATTAACAAAATATCAAAAAGACCAAATATAATGATGTCCCTCAAAGACAAAATTAAAGTATTAGATTATTTGCAGAAAGAATTAGCAGCTACAATTGCTCATGCTCTGCTTGTAAATGAATCTATCTTAATACACATTAAAGAAAAAGACAAAGATTAGACATCTGACAAAAATCATCTTCATTTACAAGGAACAAAAAGATAATTAAGACTGTCAAAGACCCAACAATTAAAAAACAGGAAAAACTTCAAATATCTGGACTTAAGATCAATCTCAAAAAATTTTTCTTTGAGTGGCCTTAATGGATGCCTGGGAAAAATCTGCACAAGTTTAATATAGTTTTTACTTTGGAAAAAGAAAACTTAATAGTCATTTGAAAGGTGACAAAAAGCTGTACATCATCTTTTATTTCTGTAATTCTATGAATTCCAACTGTCAAACAGTCAATTTGACTTCAGGTGTGTGTGATGAATGTCTTTTAAAAAGTTAAAATATATCTATCTATATATAATTTTATTACTTGAAAATGTTAATTATTGATGCTTTCATCTGAATACTTCTGTAAAATTTTTTATAAGATATTCATATCTTACTCATCCAAGAGTAATCAGATTCATCAATTTTAATAGATATATTATTACTATTTACATAATATCAAAAAATATACTAAAATAATTATTTTCCTTAATTAAATATTTTTCTATACTTACAGCACTTGCCAATTCATTTTCAGTCATGTCTTCAACAAATAATGGCTTTTCAGTTGGTTCCACTGGTAATTCTTCACTTGTTCCCATCATAAGAAAGGTTAAACCCTGAAATATATAACAATATAAATAAAAATTGTTCTAATAAAAATTAACAGCTTCAAATTAAATGATAAAATATATTATTAATCACAAAATGTAAAATGTTTATTGATTTCATAAAATTTTGCTATTCAAATTGAAAATACTAAATTTTGAATGCACAGGAACCTTATTGAACCTTATATGGATAAAATATATTATATGAAAATTCAAAATCTAATGCATGTACAAGTTAATTTATTTTTCATCATCAACTAAACACAAAAGAAATGAATATCATATTTCATTCAAATACAAAATTTGACAATCATTTATTTATGCAATGTTTTAAACCAAAATTTACAAAATCAGTTTTTAATGAAATTTTCATAATCTTGTAATAGTATTTTTTTGAACATATTAAAATAAATACAGTGATACCCCGAACTTACACGATAGGTGGGACCAAGCGATAACCGCGTAAGTTGAACTTGCATAAGTTGGAGTATAATTTTGCAATTTGTGTAAAATCCAAGTCGGTTGTATGTAAGCCAATAAATGTTCTTGTTAATCTTATCTCGTCTTTTGATTCGTTCATGGTTACAAGAAATCACCATATAGAGTCTCTCAAGTCTCCGTAGATATAACAAACACAGAAATAAATAACACAAAATAAATTGTGGCTACGTGTTGATTCCGCACGACACATCCGAACGTGTAAGCTGAACAATAGTGTGGGGGGAGAGAGTAATCAAGAGTTGCGTGGCGCTCAAACAAAAGATGAATGGGCAAGATTTGAAAATCGTGTAATTCTGGGTTTGCGTAAGTCGGGGTAGTGTAAGTCGAGGTATTACTGTATTTGAACAGACAACAGTTAGAATTTCTATTTTCCAAAACAAGCAGTCATAAATTTTTGCTAATAATGTTATAAGGTTGCTGAGGGGGGGGGGGTGGAAATATCAAGATGGTTGAGGGTCGCAAAGAGTCATATGTGAATGCAATGGTCACCGAGACAGACTCCGTGGTTACAACAAATCGTTTATTTGACATGAAATAAGCTTACAAGATTTCTGCAATCTTGGAAGTCTAAGTCAGCAGCAGCCTCTGAGTCTTCCTCTCTTTTCCAAGATAGTCCCAAATAAAGGAGAACCCCTGGTTCACAAATTACTTCCCTTGGCATCTCCAGGATGATGCAGTCGACTTCTAGTGATGGGAAGATGTAGATCCAAGGAAGAGAAATGAAGATGAAAATGGGCATAAAACACAAACAACATTTGGTCTGAAACTCAGAACTTTTGGGAGAAGCAGCTGCCACATCCTCGGATTCCCAAATTTTTTATTACCGTATTAGCCCGAATATAACGCGATATTTTTTGACCATTTATTTTCCGTTAAAAAATCGACTCGCATTAAATTCGCGGTTTAAGTAATGGAATGTAATATAAACAAGGACATTTTCCTACAGAGGTTGAAACGCGACTGAACGTCCAACCAATTCCTAGCTTGATCGACCACTTCAAAACAACCATGTGATCTAGTTAGTAGGCCTGTGCTTTTGTTTGCATAGCGCTACTATAGTAAGGCTATGTCTCTGCTTGTTAACGTCTCACGCAACTGTTTTGTTTCATTTGTTTTATTGCTCTAGTGACTAGCGACAGTTACTTTACATTTTTCTTTATTGCCCATAAAAAATGAGTGTGAGTAATAAAGGTAGTGTTGAGAAGAAAGGCTCATCAAAGAGTCAAATAAATAAAGGTACCAGGAGAACCTACAATATGAATTTTAAAATTATGGTTGCAAACAAAGAATGCAAATTCTTCAAGAAAATCTTTTAGTGTACCTAAAAAAGGAAGGTTTAATGAAGTTGAGCAGCGAGTGTTAAAATTCATAATAGAAAAGTGAAATGAAGGGTGCCCAATATCCAGTGAAGTCATAAGATTTAAAGCGTTAGAAGAGGCTGCTAATTTAAACATTCCTAGAAAGGACTTTAAGGCAAGTATGGATTGATGTAAAAGAATGATGAAAAGAAACGGTTTATCACTATGACGGCGGACAACTGTCATGCAAAGACTTCCTGACGACTTTAATGAAAAATTGTTGGCTTATCAGGGCCATGTTATATCATTACGCAAAAAGCACAACTACAGTCTTGGAAATATGGGAAATTCAGACCAAACACCAGATTATTTTGACATGCCTTCCGACCTTATGGTAAATAAGAAAGGTGAAAAAACGGTCTTATTGAAGTCAGCTGGTTATGAAAAGTCCAGAATTACTGTTATGCTTGCTGTTACTGCTGACGGACAAAAGCTTTGACCTTACGTTATATTGAAACGTAAAACAATGCCCAAAGAAAAGCTGTGTCCAGGAATTGTTTTTTGGGTCCAAGAAAAAGATTGGATGACAGAGGAGTTGGTATTAGACTGGTTGAATGTAATATGGGGGAAACGGCCAGGTTCTCTGAGAAACTCCCGCTCCACGCTAGTCCTTGATGCATTTCGAGGCCACTTTACGACAAGTATTAAGGAAAAAATTGAGGAATTGTGTAATGTCAACTCTGGTGTAGATTGGGCCTAAAATCTGACTTCTGACGCCAGTGTAAGGTTTCTGACATTAAGGGGGAATAAAGTCTATCTTGCGTCAGAACGAGCCTAAGGGAAACCGCACATGTGGGCAGTGGAGAAGGAGGCAAATGAAGAACAAGTGTTTTACAAAAGAAAACCCGTTTATTTGTTCGAATTCATGCTTACATCGATATTGGACAATTCCAAATCTCAGTGCTCCTGTGAACAGCAAAAGTTCGGGTGATCGGTCGCAGCCCGGGCGGACGAGAAGGATCACTGGACGATACAGATGTTCGCTGTTAAGCTACGGTGTCCTGGGTGATCGGCGGTTGCACAATACAATCTAAATCACAATGGTGGGCTTAATCCAGAGGAGACTCCCTTTCGACCTTGAAGTTCCAATTTTTATAGTTTTTCCCCACTATTCGGATTGGTCCCTCGTCCCATTCCTCGCTTCCCGATTGGTCTCTCCTTTGTCTCCAGGTGCAAGACAAAACTTTTTCAGGTCGCGGGAAAGGTCAGATCCGAGGTGTCCATCTGATACCTCTTTGTCGACTCTGCTCGGTGACTGTTTATAAAACAATAACACCTGCACTCATAACTCAAGCCGTTATTTACCATTCTTTTGACGTCTAAGAATTTAACGATCATTTTCATATATCAAAAATTTCCCTTTTTTTTGTTCGAAAGGTTTATCTTGGCCAACATTTTATAAACACACAAGTCAAAGATGTTTATGAGCGCTTGTGTTAGAGTTTGTCTTCCACTAAGACCTTGACAGATAATTTGACACATACTCGAGCCGTTCCGAGTCTCGTTGTTTACATCTTGTGTCACGCAAGAGAATTTCACAGTTTACTTGAGTTTGAACCTCGTCTGGGAACCCACAATTGAATTCCGATTGAATTCTCAGTTGCAAGTCTTGGATGTGGTGGTTAATAAACCATTAAAAGAGAATTTTCGAAAAGAATATAACAATTGGCTATTATCGGGCAATCATCCATTGATATCTTCAGGAAAAATAAAAAAACCCTCAGTCTCTCTTTTAGGAGAATGGATTGTGACTGCCTGGCAGAAGATCAAACCTGAATTGATAGTTAAAGGTTTCAAGAAATGCTGCATTTCCAATGATTTAAATGGGACGGAAGATGACATTTTGTGGGAGACTGAAAGCGTGAATGAAAATACTGATGATACCGATGTGACATCAANACTGATGCCTTCTTTAACAAGATAAATGAGTTTACTTTTGTTTTCTATAATCATCACATCATAGTGATTCAGCAACCAATAGTCCCTGGGTTCCTTCTTAGTAGTCATTTTGGCTTTTTGTACATTATTTATTAACTTCTGGTAAGTAGTTTCGGTTAATACTGTTTTTTGCAGCATTAACTCAAATTTTGAACAGTTTATCATTGAATCATTGTTTCACGTCTATAGACCATGACACCTTCTTTAACGCTACAGCTTGCTCCTCCATTTTCATGGAGCACAGTAAAAAACTAATTTTTTGTTGAACAAATTTAAATAAAATTGCATATTTTGACACTCCTGAACAAACTGCAAAGTGTTAAAAATGACGTGCCTTGCCACGTGATATTCGAAACAAAATGGAGATGTATTTCATACTTTGCCGGTTTCTCATCTGGCATTGTATAGAATGCCTAGGAAATTTGTAAAATATGAATCGTTTTATAGATTGCCGGCTAGTTTTAGGCATTATATACAATGCCTATATTATATACAAATCAGGCATTCTATAAAATGGCTGATTTCGAACTTTGCCGGTAACATATATACATTTAATTAAGTCAGGACGGGTTGGAAATCGCAATAAAAAATGTAATTTTTGAAAAATATTTTAAAATATACGGCCAGCTAGTATTCACTATTTTAAACCCTTTTCCTCCTGTAAATTTTATGAGAATGTTCCGCAAAAGATGATACCAGCTGTTCTCAAGGTCATCCAGATGTAAACACAATTACTCATCAGCATCAGATTTTGCGGAAAGGGGAGACAACGAAAAATAACTTTGAAGCTTTCTCTTCAAAATTAACACATTTCTTTCATTTTTTTTTTTTTCAGTTTTAAGTATTTTTAATGCTTAATTAAAAATTCCTGAACAAAAATTGTACATCAAGAGTACAATATGAATCGTTTTATAGATTGCAGGCTAGTTTTAGGCATTATATACAATGCCTAAAAATTGTACAATAACAATCAATAAATATTTTAAAATAGCAATTCATTGATTGTTATTTACATTGCAATTCATTGATTGTTTTCATGTGAAGACCCATATATGATTAAAATACATGAGAAAAAATATGTTGAAAAAATAAGGGGTCATCTTTAAAAAAAATAAAAGTGGAAATTTGGCATAACTCACTTAAAATACAGTAATCAATAATAATTGGCAATTTATTTAAACTTTCACTATATTATTACTTGAATAATAAATAAAAAATTAATAAATACTATTAAGGATACGTCACATCAAAAGTACCGCCAAAATACTGGTCGATAAAATTATTATATTTTTGTTGATTTCCTTCACTGCAAGAACCATTAGAAGGATCATTCAAGGGTGGTAATTTCTGCTGCAACATTCTCATAATTTCTGTCCAAAATTCATTTGCATCCTGATTTTAAAAAATTTTTACAGATTATTCTGTATTATTATATTTTATTATATATTATTCTGTATTTTCCAAATTAATAACATAAAATTTCTAAAACATTTAATTCTTTTCATGTATTTATATACAGTACTTATTACCAGAATAGACAATACTAAAAACAAGTTTACTTTTAAAGAAATAATAAATGTTTATACAATCTTATGAAGTGCATATTGGATAACATCTCAATACAATTAATTTTATTATCTGTTATGTTAAAATATTTTTAAGTAAAACTTAGTGTCTGTATCTGTGTACATAAATCTAGTAATAAAGATAGAAGATAGAATATGTAATAAAGTAATCATGCTGATGACTTTATTACATATTCTATCTTCTATCTTTTAGCATATATGAATATTCTATTTTCTTAAACTTAATATAAACTGTAAAAGCCTAAATTAAGTAGATGAAAACACTCTTGTGTCAATCAATTTGTTTGTTTACAACAAATTGTTTCTAAAAATTTAAATACATTAATAAATCATTTTAAGTTTATCATCAAATCAAAATAATAGTCAATTATTCATATGGAAGTACAGTCAACCCTCCTATAATGCGGTATATACATTCCACTTTATACGAATTTCGCGTTATAGTAATCCTTAAATACATGAGCCAATCACAGCCCAGCACGTGCGCAGTTTACGGACTACAGCTGTTTGAAAGGTTTTCTTCCATAAAATTAATCGATTCTAGACTAATTTCACTCAACATTTCCAAAACATGTATAATTTTTTGGGAATAATTCGTATAAACAAAAAATTGTAGGATTACTTACCGAGTGTGCACCGTTTGACGATGCCATTGCTTAAGCTTGTTTTTGTCGCGGAGCAGCGCACCAAATGGCGGGTGCGTTTCCTAATAAGTTATTTTTCTGCGAAAACTTTGTTGAACTTTGGAGACATCATTAATATAAATAATTTTTATGGCCGTTGAATAAGAAATGTTTTTATCACAAGAAATGTATAAAATTACAGTACTGTATTAGACTTACAGTACCTAATTTATATACTGTACAGACAATAGTAAACTCAACTTACCTGCCTAAACTCTCTGTAGCGTGTAAGTAGTTCAGCTGCTCATCCACTATTGGTCCAGATTCGACCAATCCTGTCGTGACACAAGTCGGCAATGACATTTTATCGCATTTTATGAGTCTCTTTTAGTGTCTTTGTACGAATACGGTCGCAATTTTTTCACCGCGATATACAAATCCGCATTATAGGGGGTCTACTGTATATACATGCAGCAGTAGTAAATAGTGTAAATTTTATAATGTATTTTCTATAGTTTACATTGATGATTTGATCTTAAATTTTAATTTTAAATTCTTATTACAAAAATATCTTTATCAAACACATGTTGATAATGACTTCAGCATACTTTCAATACAGCACTTTTGTGTTCATTATTAAAGCTTCTTTATGCTGCTCTGCTTACAATTTATAAGAATAATTTATTTGCATAATTTTGAGCAATGTTTTGTAAATAAAAATAATAATAATAATAATGTTGTTATTTATTATTATTACAGTTTATTTGTTTAATTATATATTTACACAAGTTCTTATTTAAAGACTTTCCATTCTAAAATAATGATAAGGTCAACCTTTCAATAAAACTAAAAAAAAAAAAGCTAATTCATAATTTATATTAATAATTACAGACTCAATTCCATCTACTCAACTTATATTACTAATTCAATTTAAAATATTTTCATTCTTACATAAAAGACTAAAATATATTTCATACAAATACATGAATGTAATTTTAATAAATTTTATCTGCCCATTATGTCTAAATAGAAAATAATTGTTTCAAATCTAATGTTTATTTCCTTGAAAAAATAATTTATAATTTATAGATTTTTTTAAAGTTATAAGTAAGAAAATTATAACTAAAGCATTTATTTCTCATCAATAAAAATATTATGAATCATCATTTATTATAAGCAACTTACTTAGTCCTTATTATTAACTCTCAATTATAACACTAGAAAATATAGTAAAGAAGTCTTTATTTTTATTTTTAACAGTATAAATTAAATTTAACAGTATAAATTAAAAATAAATTAAAACAAAAAAGTTTTTGTTTTAAAATTATTCATTTAATTTAAAAAAAGCTAAATAAAAAGTATTCAAAAATATAAATTTAAGATAATTATAAAATTACCTTTACATAGATTCTATAATTAAGATAATTACATTAAATTAAAATAATTAAGATAATTACATTAACTTTTAACTTTATAAGTATTTTAGAATAATATATTTTACTTGTTGCATCCATCCGCCTTGTTCTGATCTTTCTGCAAATCTTGGAAAAGCGGCATGAACAACTTGAATCAATATCAAAGGAGAGAGTGTTGCTCCAGATCTTTCCATTAATTCATATAAATCTCTCATGACTGTAAAACAAAAAAGCTTAATTAAAAAACTGCTTATTCAAATATATTTTAATATATAAAATAAATTTTAAAATTCAAAATTTTAAGGACAGAATTGAATATATGGGCAATTTTGTTCAATATATACAATCA